CGAGAATATAATTTTGCTGAGAAAGTGGGCTTCTACAGGGAAAACTCGCTGAAAAATCCAATATCTCGGTCCAGGCTTGCTATCAGCACGTCATATTTTAAATTTGTTAGTTTGGCAGTGAGACCTTTAATTTGATCTGAAAATGTTCAATGTTCGTGCGTTACAACACACACATCTCCATTGTTAGTGTCAACAATCGATGGAATATATGAGGAAATAATTCAGGGATGGCTACCAAATCAGCAACCGGTATAGGATATTCGAAGTTTGAGTCGTAAAAACATGACGTTTAGAGTTTATTGTATATTGTCCATACAGTATTTTATCCAGGTTTTTTCTACCAGAGGTACGATTTGAACCGCCAAGGGGTAGATGCATAGTGTGTGGCGCAATAATCACAATCTCCGGAGGAGTGTCACGCCTCACTAGATAAAACACTGTTCATACTATGTCAATGAGTAATTTCTAGTGAATTGAATATCTGAAAAATTTCACTGTCTTGCTGAATGAAATATTATTTTATTTATTTAGGTCGTCTTGATCAATTAATTTATATTCCATTACCGGAGGACAAATCACGGATGGCTATTCTAAAAACTTCTTTAAGAAAATCATCTGTACCTAAAGATGTTGATATGAATTATTTGACTAATGTAACCGAAGGTTTTAGTAATGCTGATTTAACAAAAATTTGCCAACGAGCTTGTATATTAGCTACAAGAGAATCCATTGAAAAAAAACAACAACGTATCCGTCCAACAACAATGGATTCTGATGAACCAGCTCCAGAACTAGAAATTCGTCGTGATCATTTTGAAGAAGCTATGAAATTTGCTCGACGATCAGTTAGTGATAAAGATATAAGTAAATATGAAATGTTTGCTCAGACATTAGAACAATCACGTGTTTTCGGTACACAATTTCGTTTTCCTGGTCAATAACAACCATCACAGGCTACTGCCCAGGTCAAAAAGGCACGATCGTACACGGTCGTGGTATACGACGATCGTATGCGATGAACGTATACGATGCCATACGTTCAAATACGATCAACGTATGCGTTGAAAATAAACGACTATCGTGCACGAGTATAGTATTCGACCGTATATGGTCGTAATTTGAGTCTATGGGCTTTTTTATTTCAAACTGAATTCTAAAATCAAAAAAACCACACCAATTTCTTCCGAATCAAACTTTTCTCGTTTGATACTACGTAGTCTCACTAAAAACCCTTAGTCCCCTCTAGTCCTGCAAAGTCCCCCTTAGTCCCCCCCATAAAAAGCTTAGTCCCCGCTTAGTCCCCTGTGCAGGGGACTAAAGCCTATAGTACACAAAGCCACAAGCACACCCTCACCCTCACTCGCGCGCCCACACCCGCACCATGGGTGTGGGTGTGTGTGTGGGTCCCAGACCAACACCCACACCCTCAGTCACTCCCCCCCTCGCTCCTAGACTCACGTTTCAGTTTGAAATCAAGTATTATTTTTATTTGATAAATTCAGACTGAAATTAAATAGCCCATTGTATGCGTACTTTAGGCGTAAATTGAGTTGCATGTGTCGACCATACAACTCTTCCCACGGCAAAAAACCTGACGTCAGATCGTACAAGATCCAATAAGATCTTACCCTTATAAGATTTTTTTCTATGATCTTGTTACAAGATCCGATAATATAGTATGTCTTCGTTTTTTTAAAGATTTCATCAGATTCTGACTATAACGTGCGAGCAAAAATCTTACGAGATTTAAAGATTAAGAAACATATCAGCACAGACTCAATGCTTCTTGTCAGATATTGCAGAGATGTCCATCGCGGCGCTGCCGCTGTCGCGATGGCGGTGGCGGCAGCGGCAGCGGCAGATTTTTTAAAAATCATCGCGGCAGCGGCGCGTTAGCGGCAGGATTTTTTTCGGAACATTGAAAAACTGCATGAATTTAATAGAATTTCAGGGTTTACAAATGAAACACCCCTAGACTGAATGAATCTGATGGACTAGTACCAATATCTCTGGTCAAATATAGTCGCAGCAGTGAAATTAGAAACACTTTTTTGTAAACCGCCGCGGCAGCGGCGCGGCGGCGGCACGTTTATTTTATAATTCATCGCGGCAGCGCCGCGGCAACATTTTTTTATAAACCGTCGCGGCGCGGCTGCGGTGCGGCAGCTTTTTTTTCTAAGTCCGCGGCGCGGCAGCGGCAGATTTTCAGCCGCGATGGACATCTCTGAGATATTGTCAGATCATATAAGATTCATACAAAAAGAAACATACACCAGGACATAATGTCGAACTTGCCTGTTCTTTTACTCATTCGAGAATTGCTGATTCGATTAGTTTTACTATGCAGAACAGTAGTTGAAAAACAGGATTGAGCTGTGTACCTATTTTTTTTCTTATTTTTCTATACTAATACTATATAAGACAGTTAGTTTTATTTCTTATGTTTCTATATTAATAATATAGAAAATCCCATTTTTATTTCGTAATTTTCTATATTGATAATATAGATAACAGTTAGTTTTATTTCTGATTTTTTTATATTGATAGTAGTGAAAATCTCATTTTTTATTTCTTTCTTTTTAGTGCTAATACTATACAAGACAGTTAATTTCATTTCTTATTTTTCTATATTGGTAATATAGAAAATCTCATTTTTATTTCTTATTTATCTATATTAATAATATAAAAAAAAAGAAATAAAAATTAGAATTTTCTATATTATTAACATAGAAAATTAAGGATATAAAACTAACCATTTTCTATACTATTGCTATAGAAAAAAAAATGCGATTTTCTATAATGAGAGGATAGAAAAAAAAGGCATGAAAATTTATATTTTCTATATTATTCAAAGAAAAATAATAAAATAAACGTATGCACAGCTCGATCATGTTTTCTAACTGCTGTTCTTCATAGTAAAACTACTCGAATCAACAATTCAAATAAATTTTAATTTTCAATTTTAGATTATTTAAATAAATTTTATATTTATTTCACAATATTTAACTAAATTTTTGATTTTAGATTATTTAAATAAATTTTTATTTTAGATTATTTAAATAAATTTTATCCTTTATTTTTAGATTATTCACAAAGATAAATTTAAGTAGACGTATTAATTTAAATAAATTTTTATTTTAGATTATTTAAATAAATTTTATCCTTTATTTTTAGATTATTCACAAAGATAAATTTAAGTAGACGTATTAATTTAAATAAATAGGGATGTCCAGTTTGGCTGGAGGTTCTACCCAGGTGATTCGATCCGACTGTCGGATTATATCGGATTATATCGGAAAAATTACCGGATTTTAACGGATCCGACGGGAACTCGTCGGAAGTTGTCGGCATCCTAGCCACAGGATTCCGACAGGAGGTTCCGGATGTCGGAATAATCAGGATCCTGCGAAATCCCTGAAACTCCGACACTTTCCGACATCCAGAACCACTTGTCGGAATCCTGTGGTTAGGATTCCGACAAATTCCGGCGAATTTCTATCGGATTCGACAGGGTGAATTCGACCTGGGTAATTCTTTTTTTCGTATGCAGTTTCGATGATCTATCATCTTAGCTACACGACAAAAAAGAATTGAAACCTCCGACCAGACTTGGCAACGCAAGTGATATTTTTTGCACTGTTTGGAGAGTGGGGGGATAGGAAATGGTTATACGGAGTATGATGGCAATTGGTGCTGTATACGACCGTGTGTAATCGTTTACGATGGTCGTATACAGTCGTATTTCGCCGCATACGGCACGACGATATACGGTCGTAATTCTGACTGCAAGTAATACGACGAATACGGTCGTATACGATCGTAATTTACACAGTATACGTCCGTACACGATAGTATACGACATCGTATACGAGCGTTTACGACTGTCGTAATGCTCGTCCTGGGTGGCGATCAAGATGAACATGAACCTTCAATAGAAGAAATACAAGAAGAGGTAATAATTTAATATCAAGAAAGACAAAAAGTCCCTTTTTTATGTTTAGATTCAACAAATCCAGAAATCGAGCGAAAATCTTACGAAAAAAATAGAAGAAAAAAATCAAAAAATACAGCAGTTAACAAAAGTAGAAGTTCTTCGTATTCGTCGAGATGGACAGGAAGAGGAACTGAAGATGTTACTTGGACCTAAACAATACAAATTTTTAAAACTTTTATTTTTTTATTCTTTCTCGCAGAGGTGCAAAATCTGCCGCTAAAATAAAAAGATTAGCATACACAACTGAATAAAGAACATCAACCATATTGAGTTTATGAAAAATAATGGATAAAATTTCATCGGGTAATCGAGTATATTGAGATGATTGTTATTTAACCCTTTGAGGACCGAATTTTTTTTTAATCGAAAAACACATTTTTCAACCTTTTTATTTTATTTTAACTAAAAATGGCTATATAAAAATGTTATGATTATAAAAAAAAAATCTTTTTCATCTTTTAAACAAGATAGCAATTTGCAAGTAAAGCACTCGATCTTGGATCGAAAATCTGCTTCCTCGGTGTCACAATAACCACATCATCTTCTTTTTCCTTTCACAGACAAATGCATTTCATTGTCAAAATTAAGGATAGTTTTTGGTGATGCTAGTCTAGACTTATATTTTTAGAAAGAGGTCTTCCACAACTTATTCGTTCATTGCCGAAACAGAAAGACTCCGATACTGAAACCAAAATGACATGCTTTGCAAATTCAAGAACAAAATAAATTCGTCCATAAGAGTGGGAGTGTATATAGCCAATAGAGAATGAGAATATTCTCGAGAAACAAAAGATCAGAGAAGAGAGAAATTATGATGTCACTGTATCTTAGCAGCAAGAACAAAGGATATTTGAAAAGAATTTACATGAGAGAAGGAAAAAAAGAAAAGAAAAGTATGGGATGACAAATGCATTTGTTTATGATCTTAATGACCTTACATATTTCATAGTTTAATGTGAACTAAACATTTTTTTCTTTACTGAAAAATAGGTGGGTTAAAAATGACCCGTCGGTCCTCAAAGGGTTAAATTGTTCATGTCTAATTCATACAATGTATTCATGTCAATCTATATATATTTTCTCATTACGGTATCTACAAAAACAATGACGAATAAATACCAATGTCGTCATATTGTTTTATGACCAAGGTAACAAACAGACTAGACTAATTCAAAGTGAACTAACCAAGGAAATTGGCATTGCTAGGTAGAAAAGTGTCAATCATGTTTCTTAATTCACTTTGAATTAGTTAAATCCGTTTCTCCACCGAATATATAAAGGTATTTTTCTTTTTGTCTAATAATTTCTGCTATAATTTCTTAGTGATGGTGCATCGATCATCGTCTTATTCTCTTGTCAAACAGAATATTTCTCATGTATCGTGGTTCTTATAACACACAATATTACATTTGGAATAAAATAAAATATATGAATTAGACATCAGAAGTCTACTCACAAATTATCAAAGATTTCATTGAATATAACCTTATCATTGTTTTTATTTAGTTAAACTGAAAAAGTGAATATTATAAAATGTTAGAAGCACAGAGGGTGGTTAGTTTGGTCGAAATCTAGAGATTTGTTGAGGTCTAAGTTGAAAATATCTCGATAGGAAAAGTGTAATGAAAGCTTGTAATAATTATATGTTCTATTACTTTTGAATGAATTCTCTTAGATAGAATATATCAATGACATAAGATAATTAATAGAAAGATGAAATATTTTGACATTCGTTGACCTGATAGTATATGAAAAACGCGCAGCAAGTTAAAGATGTTATTTTTCTACTAGTATATTTTGAAGTAATTTCATTTCGTTCAAAACCATAAGATGAGTCTGATCCTAAGAAAGATAGTTTACGTTAACTGAGACGGATAACAACTTGATATCGCGCATTGATCAAATCCAATAATTGAAATTGTTTTGAACTTCAGATCGAATGCGATCAGAAATTAATGTTCATTTATTCTTTAATTGAAGTTAGGTTGAAAAAGTAAGGACTATTTTTACATTTAAAATCAAATCAAATCTTTTTGTATGTCTTCAAACAATTGCGGAAGGAGCATTTTCATTGTACATATAACTCTGCAGCATCACATACTGTTGTGTGATTTTTTATAAAATAAGAAAACGATCATTCATAGTTGATATTTCATTATATTTGAGAAATATCATTAGCCTATAAATACAATATTTATCATGTTTTTCAGTTTATTGAATACATCAAAACAAGAATACATCTATTTATACAACGAAGGAAAATAAAGACAAAAATCTTCTGAATGTACCAATGATCCTAGAGTAAGTATTTGTTTCACCTTAGCACAATTGCGTCGTGTTTCTTCTCTTGTAAAGTCTTTTGTTACAACTTTTAAATCATGAACAAAGACTCCAAGTTTCGTCAGACAAGGTACGTATGCCTTTGTTTCATTTAGAAATTGTTCAACATAATCTTTATCTGCATTTTCCAAATCAAGTATAGTCAGATGGGGGTATTCAATAATTGAGTGTAATTGACAATTATCAGATGAAAATGTCATAAGACCATCTAATACCTGTGATTCTGTATTAAAAATACGTAATGCTTCAGTAACGGAAACGATCGGGCAATTCGCATGAAGAATTCATGTTCGAATGGATCAGTATCTTGTACAAGTAAATACGTAACATAACTGAATACAATATTTGGAAATTTATTGCCAAGATCTTCGAGATAATCAAATTCAAAAGGTAGTGAGAAAATTGAGCATGCAGCTCTGTTACTATGGATATAATTGACCGTACTAATGGCATGTTGTTGTCCAATACCTGTTAATGTTTGTTGAATATCTTCACTAGTTAACTTGTAGGATAAATCAACCGTTTCCACATAAGTACAAATATAGAAAGTGAATGAATGAAGTAGTGACATATAATCCAAAATATCACGTTGAACATAAGTACCATCAATGACTCTATTTCGATCTTTTATAGGAAGATATAAAGTTAATTTTTCCAGATATGACATACGACGAAGAAGTGATACAATTTTATCATATTGTTGAAATCGATAGAACGATTCTAATGAGAAACATTTTAGATTAAATAATTTATCCTACAAAAAGAAAATATTTTTTTGATAATCTACAAGATTAAGTCATACGCATCATTATTTTATACATGGTGTCTGATCTATATTCTGTCCGTCAATGACCACAAATGACAAATCTATCAGTTTGATTTTCTCATTTTACAGCATAACAAACGAGTGTTGAAAGAACAATTGAAGTTTCAGACAAACTTCCAATCATATCTCTATTATTGGAAAAATTGTTATTATAGAAAAACTTTCGTTCCATTCTATGCTGATGATCATTCACATATGATAATATTTAATCAATCATGACACAGAGCAGTCTAGTTTTCAATGTGAAACTTATCCGATAAAATATTATATAATTATAATTTCTAGTAAGTACAAACTTAATGTCGATGATTTTGATGTATTCATCAACACTTATCAGTTTTTTCCCCTTGTCAACATGAAACTTAACCACTCGATCTCTTATTTGAATTTTTTGAGATCAATTCTAACTGCATTAAAATAGTAATAATCTTCATGTCATAAATAAAATTATGTGTAAAAACTTACCATATTGTGAACAATTCCTGAAGACTTGTCTATAGAATAGACAGTAATACACAATGTTGTCAATTTTCTAAGTCAACCATCAAGTAAATAAAGACAATCATCCAAAGTTTTCACAGTGATATATAAATGAGTAAGAATCGGAGATAAAAAAGTAGTCGATGGCAAATCACAAAGTGATAAAGCTGGATAATATGACATAATAGATGGTTTTATGACACTTAGTTTTTTTTAATTTTTGAAGGTCAAGATGTGACTATATACGTTTGTAGTATAGTTTCTTAATGAGCGTATCATTCCGTCTTTATCATTATTGATAAGAATAAGATTTATAATTTATTCTTGGAAAATAGATCGAAGTGATGATTCATCTAAAGGAGAAAACCAATGAAGTGAAACATACTATAGTCTTTTCTTTTTAACACTTTTATTATTTCTCAACTAATCAAATTCATACTAAATGCTTACTTGTAAAATAATTTAAAGCGATTTCTTGTTGGAAATGAAAAATTTTAAGTTCAGTTAGATTCGGATAGTCAGTGGCAAGAAGAATATCTTCCATAAAAAGTGGGTCAAAAATAAAACATTTCACATTATGATGAATTCTTGGTAATATATCGATGCAGAATCGATCGATTATAGAAATATTATCAATGGAGACAAACTTCAGAATGTTGGTGAAAGTGTTTTCTTGTGCAAGAAGGTTAAGTCGTCCATTATTAATATCCAATAAAGAACAAAGTACATCAATATTGTTCAACTTGTTCAAAATAATAAGTAATATTTCATCAGGTAAGTCCAGAAGATGAACATTTGATCGGTTCATATTTTATTATGACTGGGATGCTTTTGACTGAGATAAAGCTATATATACATATATGTTCATTGTTTGCATCTCACCACTTTGACATCAAACAGATTGAAAAAAATAAAACGGAGTAACCAACGTAATTGGTCTATTCCAAGTTAAATCATCTTTTTTAGACAATTTATTCGTCAATTTTAGTGTTAATTCGTTTTCTTTTTTTCAGTCTGCTTAAGGCCTTTTGCGCCATTGTCAAATTGAATAGGTCAACTTATTCACAAACGTAAAACATTGATGTATCGTCCAACTCGATCATAGTCATTCAATGTTGTGTGCATTTTTGAAAGAAATTGAAAGATGACATTGAGAAGAAGAAAGGATATTTTTTTTCTTATAGCAGAATCAGTTGAATTTCATTCATATACTATTTCTTTTACATTCCAGATTTTACCAATTTAAAATCAAATCTGAAATTCTTGCGAAAAGACAGTTCTTTGATGGCCTCAGGACTTTTTGTTAGAAGGAAATTTCACTACATGTTATAATAATAGAAATGTATAGATCTGGTTGTGATCTAGGTACACTGCACACACATGTGTATTGTAAATCTGACGTTTTCTGTCCACTTGAAAACAGGGTTAAGCCATTTGATATGTAGTATAATCTCGTCAATATTGAACTAAGATGTTTTTATTATAGAAAATAACCGTTAACAATAGGCTTAGAACTTATTGAAAGGAGAAAAAAACTTTGAGAAAAGTATACATTGTCAAGATAAGGGTAAGGATACATACGTATATCGTTATGTTTTGTCAAGAAAGATCACATCATATCTATGCAATGAAACGACAGATATCGAGAGAAAGACGGAAGAAGGAAGCGACTAAAACATAGACGATGATCTTGACATAAAAATTCTTGAGAAGCGATTGATATTGACTTTCAAATTGTGTACAAAAGAAAATTTTAATGATGAAATAATGTGCAATAAGATATAGATAAATAATGGTTCGACGTTTGATCTTAATCTAGAAAAAGGTTGAATTTAGAAAAATAGCGAAGCATTTTTGGAAAAAGTTCCTAAAAGAATACGAGAAATGTCTTCAAGATTAATTCCATTACTTGAAAACAAACCCATGCATGAGTATATCAGTAAAAGTTTTCTGTTGGAACTTTTCAATACATATCGTAGATCGTGAACTTTCACCTCGTCATTATTATAGTTCTCTGAAACTATCATCAGAAGAACGAAATTTGTTCATTACGACGAAGTAGTGGTTTTACTTCGGTAGATAATCTCACTATGATAACATTGTTATAGGCAATTATAGGAGATGATCCGTATTCAGTTGGAAGAATAAAAGCGTTATATTTCATTTGTATATTTACACATTTGAAAATATTAGTCAAATTGTGAGAGTTTATGAGTATGTATCAGAGATGGACAGGGCGCGGTGTCACGCCGCCCCGCCCCGTTCTGCCAGCGAGACGGGGCAGGATTTTTAAACGGTGGGGCGGTGCACCGCCTCTTCAAAATGCTATATTTTTTAGTACAGTCAGATCTTTAGAAATGTCTTCTAATTTTTTTAAAAATGTCTGTACAAGTGACTTCTATTAGAAAGAGGGTGTGGGTGGGTGTGAGGGTGTGAGTGTGGGTGTGGGTGGGTGTGAGGGTGTGAGTGTGGGTGGGTGTGAGTGTGGGTGTAGTTGTGGGTGTGGCTGACGATGTCAATGAAGAAGAGAGCCTACGCCACACTGGCACCCACACCCATACCCACACACACACTCACCCACACCCCACACCTCACACCCACAACCACACCCCACACCCACACCCAATTATCTCCTCTTCCGAGTAGATACTGACAAGACTTTTTTTACTTAAAAAAATGAACATCAAGGCAATACTTTTATACTCCTGAGAGGGGAGTCTTATAATTATGCAACGAGTGAAATTCAAAATTTCTTGAATCTAAATATTATTAATATTTAACCAAATAGAGATCAATATAGCACATGATAGATGCTTTAGCGGTGTCTATATATATGGCATTAGATCCCTTATCAAAGCTTCTTTAGTTGGTGAAAACTTTATTATTCTCAAACTTGTAGGGGGGTCTTATAATTTTGGGAACCCCTGTACATTGTTACAATGATTATTTGATATTGTGCTTATATGATGAATAATAAACTAAAGTGACTTTAATCTTATAAAAATTCAATAAAAGCTTCCACGAATAACTCCGATAAAAGAATCTAAAACAGATAGCAGAGTATTATATTGCTCCTTCAGTTCGGCTAACTATAAAATATTGCAGAGAGCATGTCATTTCTTTATTTTTGAAAAACTGAGGGTGTGGGTATGGGCGTCAATCTTCAATTTATCCAAACTAACACTTCCATACCCTACAAGATTAATCAAAATATTTGTTCAATGGTTTATTCGTGGATATTTTTGATTGTTTTCATGCTTTCTGGTTGCGTGTGAGTGTGTGGGTATAGGTGCAGCTCTTCTCTCAATCCACAGCGACACTCACACCATACTCACACCTTCGTTTAGGTGTACTCATATGCGAGATGGTTTTTCTTGAAAATGCTTACTAAGGTGACCAAAAAGTCGAATTCTCAATAAAAATGAGAAAAAAGAAAAAATTTCAATCACTATCATATGTTTTTCTTATATTACAGTTAAAAAAAAGGAAGATATCAACTTTCATTTGATACGTGTAAGTCTACACTTGTACCTTTTTTATTACATCAAATCGTTGTCAAGCAAATAGCAAAGAGAATAGAAGAAGATAAGCGGCGTATGCCATTTCTTTTGTTTCTCTAAGCATTATTGTCGAAGCTTTGATAATATTTTTTTTTCTTCATACGCTGTTGACGTAGTAAGTAGTTTAACATCACCTGTCTGTGGCCGGTGTATTGTTATTGTTGGTCCTTGTATCATTGTTCCCTTATACGGATCCTTAGCAAAAGTAATATTTATTGAAAAATAATTATCCAAAACAGTCTAAACATATTAATGAAATCAATGAGTACAACATCAGATCAGAATAATGCTGCTCATGCGACACTATTAAACAATACTGTTCTTCATGAAAATGATTTGATCAAAAAAGCTAAAAGTCAATTTAGCTATCACAAGGATGTATTGAATACGTTTGAATCATATCGTCAATGTGTACTTCATAATGAACTGATAACAGATGTTGGTCGAAAGTTTTTTCTAACAGAACTTCACAATTTGCACACAAATTTTAAACGTGTTCTAAACTATGCAGCCGAACATAATAAATTTCGTGATCAAAATTTGCCTACTATTGGTCCGTTGATCATTTGTGGAGTTGCCCGTACAGGAACAACATTACTCTACAATTTGCTTGCCTGCGATCCAAATTGTCGTGCACCATTGTTCACTGATATGATGATTGACGTTGTTCCACCGATTGCACGATCTGATTCGATCGAACAAAAACGACGAATCGATATTTTAAACTCTCCTTCACAAGAAACTGAACAGTTAACCAGTAACTTCATTCAAATAGCTGCATGTCATCCATATTTTCCAAATGAAGAAGATTGTCACATTCTGCGTCAAGCCGGCTGTTTTCCATTGTTTACACTTATATCTGACAATGAGGATTCTGATGCAGAAAGTTGGATCCGTAATGAAATGAACAAAGGTTATGCATATGATTATCATGAGACATTCGTGCGCATGTTAAATTCGGTTGACGCACCGAAGTCACATTGGTTATTAAAAACACCATACCATGCTTTTTATCTTGATGAGCTTCTTCGACATTATCCGAATGCATTATTAATTATGACACATCGGTCTCTTGACGAAGTTCTTCCTTCATGGTGTAGTTTGGCATCGGTAGCTGCAAATGGGCATTTTGATGCAATGAACTCGATCAGTCGAGATAGAATAACGAAACGATGTTATCAAAGCATGGATAAATCAATCGAATGTATAATGAAATTTCGAACATGTCAAAATGGTGGAGTTGATCAATCGAGAAAAAATATGTTCGATATTACTTATGACAATGTGATGAAGAATCCCATTGGTGTTGTTCATCAAATCTATGATTATTTCAATCTTCAATGGTCGAACGAATTCGAAATAGCGATGAATAATTGGCTTCTGGAAAATCCTCAGGGCAAACACAGTCGTCATAAGTATACTCTTTCCAAATTTGGTTTCAATCAAGAAGATATCCAAGCACGTTATGCTGATTATACGAAAGTGTTTCTATCTTCAACATTTTCACATAATCAATCTTCATCGACAAATTGAAGTCCATTATAATTAAAACAATATCTCTTATTCACTTTGATTTAAAAATTCATATCACAAATAGTTTTATAATTTTCATTAGTTGTGTCTGCAATTTAAAAGCAACTAAAGTTTAATTTTAAGAATATCCAAATAGAATGTCTAACGGCAGCAGTGAGCAACTTGCGATTTTCATCATTTGCAATATCGTGCACTGAGCGACATCGATTCATAATTAAAATTATAGAATGATGGAATTGTCGGAAAACACCGAAAGGCAAAATATGTAGAGAGAAAAAAACAAAAGAAAGAAGAAAAATGTCAAAATGGGAAACATCGATCAAGATATTCGTTCTTTAATTTCTTTTTTCTCGCATAAATTTTCACTTTCAATCAATTATGGCTAAACACACAATGATAACCACCTGTCATTGAAATAAATGATCATTTTCACCACTGGGCTGTGGGTGTTGTGGATGTTGGTGTGGGCATGAAGAAGTTGCCATGACCGGTTTCGTCCCAGAGTGTGGGTGTCGGAGGGTACTTTTTCTCTATAGTTACACCCACATCCTTATAAGTTAAAAAGCTGTTACCACAATCCCTTGCAGGGCTAAAAATGCGCAACACGATGTAGGTGCTATTGCCGATGTTTTAAAAGCTGTTGTTTTTTATGCATATTGAGGTAAATACCTTCATAATAGTTTACCTTACATTATAGACTTTGAATGGGATAATACTTCATATATGCTCCAATCATATGTTAGTTATGCATCATCTGTGATTGAACATGTACCAATTCAGAACATGACTTCGAGTTTTCGAGTCAAACGTTACAAGATTGAACTCGACTCGAACTCGAGTTTATATGTTCGCGTTCGAGTCGAGTTCAATCGTGCAATAATGTAGTTCGACTTCAATAGGTGAATTTTGATCGAGTTCAATTGTGCTGAAAGTGATGATTAATAAAGAGCCTGTTTGCTATCAAGAATGAATACTCGATCAGTGTCCGGTAGATAACTAGTCTGATATCCATCAAATGACATTTACAGCATCTGTTTTGATAAAAAGAGTTCAGGACCGATTCAGGTATTACATTATTAAGTTTAAGAAGACAGTGGTAAGTAGGGGTGTCATTTACCATTTAATTTATAATAAAAATAAATTATGAGAAATTAATATTTATTATAAATGTAAATTATTTACT